ATCTTCTTAAATACAAGAGCAAAAATTAACATAATATTATTATACTATTGTTACACTATAATATTTTTAATTTCTTGAAACACAATTGTCAAAACGATCCTCTGTGAGATACAATGACAGTTATTCACGAAGTTAGGGCAGCGAAAGAACCAATCGCGGAAAAACGTAAACAATAAACTTCGAGAAAATTTCGAGAGATGCGAGTATCGATGCTCTTTTTAGAAAGGAGAATCTTTGAAAAATCACAGATGCGCATGCGCGCGTCTACGCACACATAATTAAAATTTTTTTTCTTTTTTATGAAATCTACAATTGTTTTAAATTTCACATGCAATTTACTTGATCTAATTCAACTTGCGTTAAATTATATCAAGTCGTGTTAGCAGTTTGATTAACCCTGACCTAACGTAATCCTATATCGCATTAGATTAGATTCTGCTGTTTTAATAACGCTAGCAGTTTTAATATAACATTATGGCGAACTAATTTAATGAGTGTATATTGGCAATGCATGTGACTAACATATGATCCCACACATAACACAGGCAAAGCAACAACAAGCAGGATATATAAATCAAATATATCACACAAAACGTACATATAGAAAATTTAATCAATAGGTCTTTCTCTTTAATGGAAATATTGGTCTCTTCTTTCTCCTCTTTTTTTCCATACAAGCCTATCACATCGATTGTTTCACATAACTTAATTAATTTCTGTTTGAAAAAAAAAAAAACGAATAAATATGAAAAGACTAAAGAATGACATTGTTTAACAAAACAATATTTTATTTCATTTATTAAAAAAACATTCTATGAAACATTATTGTAAATGTTGCAAAAAATTGTTCTATAAAATAATGTTTAATTTGTACAGAAAATAATGCTGTTTTAACTATACAAAACAATGTTTTAATTGAAAAAAAAAAAAAAATGGAAGATAATAGAATCTGAACACCATTTGGTTGCCATTTCGCCTCCCTTAAGAGGAAGGCTGATAATTTTCTGGATAGATAACAAAGCAGGTGAGACGTTAATTGCGACGGAGAAATAAATGTTTCTCGCATTCTCATGCTTTTTAGATTGGTGTCTCGGGTTCCCGCGACGCCCGAGATAACAATAACGATAAATAATAATAAACATACACGCTTGGCATGGCGCGGCCAGTGTTCGTGCGAGCCTCCGCGCTGCGCAGATCGCGGATATTCGCCGCGGTGCTTCATGACGAGCGAATTCCGATCGCGAGAGTCGGCGTTCCGATCATTATAGAAAAGTGAAAAAAAAACTCCGGGGGAAAAAAAGCAACGTTTAGATGGCGTCGATATTAAACTGGTATAACGCAAAACCGGTGCTCACCGGGTTGCGAGATTGATACCAAATTTGATCGGCAGATGTGAAATTGTGTATGTGCGAAACTGGATTTGCGGGGAATTCCTCCCCCCTCCCCTCCTCTCCCCTCCCCCTCCTTTTTTGCGGCATCGCCGATTTATGGCTTATTTGTGACTAATGTATTGTAATCTCGTGGGGTTCAAAACGCACACCATACACATTTTTCCATCGTTACGTAACGCCTTAGAGACGTCGATTTACCGGAATCATTATTTTATTGTGTAACCATCACGCTAAATTATACACACAGAGTGTCCGGTTTTTTTTTTTTTTTCTTTTATCGAATGGCAATTACTTTACGTTTTTACAACGTAGAACGAAAGTTTTCAACGTTTACGTTCACTTTCCAGCGCTTTATTCGTATTAAAGAAGAAGAAAAAAGAAAGAAAAAGCTTTTTTAGCCCGATATTTACGGGAGTATCCTTTCTCCTTTGAGTCCCCGATGTTATCTCGAAAAGCGGCGGATATTTTTTTTTTCCCCCTTGTACATTCGTGTTGTGCGATCCACGCGCGGAGGGAAGTGGAACGGGCGAGGAAAGGAAGAGAAATCTACCGCTGAAAACTGCGGAATTATAGTTTCACGTATAAATAGCATGTAGAATAGATTACCCAATGGATTGATAACCGCGCTATCGCGATGTATCTCGCATTAAGTCGCTACGCGGGTCGTAAATGATCTGCGGATTGTAAACTTATAATCGACCTTTGACGTCACACGATCGACGCCAGGGATCGTGACGCGTCGGAGCGCACGCGCGTGCGCGCGCGCGCGCGCGTTTGTTAATCGATCACGCTCGTCTCGATTATCTAATCGCCGTGCGCCGTGACGGAACAGAATTCCCTCACGGCCCGCGAAGATTCGGATGAGGATCGAGATTTTTGCGTCCTCGTCGTTGCGGACTTCGCGTGTCCCGTGAAGGACGAAGCCCCGCGCGCGCTCTGCATTCGTGTCCAATCGTCCTTTGAAGACACACGTCACGTCTATAACCAGAGAGAGAACCGTTACCGCAACATATTGCGCAACAAAATTTTGGCGCCTTTGTTTTGAAGAAGGGAGGAGATTCGCGTTTCCGCCGGGGGATATTTCTCTCTTGGAGATTTATTTTATGTAATTCTTGTTTTTTTTTTTTGTTTTTGTTTACGTAACTTTTTGTGGCGCTAAAATTATAATTGTGTAATCTTGCTTGGGACAATTTTCTGTGTCCATTACGCCTCGAGCGGGAGTAATTACGGAAAAATTTTTCAGGAGTCAATTGTTATCGTGGTCATTCCGAGCACGATAATAAATGTGAATGCCGTATTGAAATTGTACCTTATCGCACGTCCTTCCTGCAAAGGAACGTCTCGCGTCGAAGCGAGGAAAGGAAAGTAT